CAAAATTTACATTAGATTGGGGTGTTCATTTTCTTTTTGGTAGCTAGTGTCACTACAAAATTAATCAACTATAGGGACTACGATAAGGGACCATTCATCTTGCTTGTCCCTGCAAATATAACTTTAGTTAAATAGGGGACACCGATAAGAATTTTGTCCCCAATTTAAAATTTATTGAAAACCGGGCCTCTCAAATCGTCCCTAGAAAAAATGCCCATTATGGGCCGAAAACTAGAAGAAAAAAATGCCCCGTGTGAAGTCCAACTTCCTATTAAACAAATTCAAAAATCAATTTCTGCTTTCCTTTGCTTGTCCCCAAATGAAAAGGAAAATCCTTCCGTGTCCATGCTGCAATTTAATTTGGATTCCTTTTTGTATTAGCTTTTGAGCTGTCCCAATTCTATTTGTCATGGTATTCCTTTTCCCTTTCATGTATGGAGTGAGTTTTTATTGGTCCCAAGTAATAGATATACATGATTCCTTTTAGTTTTTAGATTGGTAATGATGTATTATAAATAAGGGATTGTTGTAATGGTATGAGCCATCACATTCATTCGCCTGCACACCCATTCTTATTGTGAGATTTTGTTCTCAACCGGTGCTCTATATTGGGTTATAGTTTTCTGTGGGAGTTGGAGCTCTAAATTTAAGAATTTGTTCCGTAACCTACCCACGCAATTGCTTCTCTACGGTATGTTTTTTTTATTTTGTTCCCTTTAATTCTTGAAAGTTAGAAATTTCTTTTTTTCTTCTGCCATTATTTTAGAATAACTTTCCAATTTGTTTTTCGTGGGTGGTGATATGTTTCAATAATTCGTACTTCATATATATTTTTGCAGCAAATGATTCCGAATAAGGATTGGATGAGCATACGGAACCGGAGAGAACCCGAATTCATCCAAGGCGTTAATACGTTTATTGATTTTGCATTTTCTCGTTCCGCCAACAAAGAAGCCATCCGTTGTCCTTGCACAAAGTGCCGAAACGCCGCATATAAAGGCCGTTCAGAAGTTGAATTTCATTTGCTAAAAAATGGAATTTTGGAGAATTATACAACTTGGAACTTTCATGGCGAATGCACCAGTATTAATCCAGGGTCAACCACTAGCCAAGAACTGAATGAAGACCATATGCTCGAAGATACTCTTGATGATATGGAGGGATTGTTACATGATGTGTATGGCAGGAGAGATGAAGAAGAAGACTTGGCAATGGACACAGAAGAGTCCGAAGAAGAACCTAATCAAGATGCTACTACCTTCTATCGCTTGCTCCAAGAGGCTAAGGAAAAATTGTACCCAAACTGTGAGTACACTAAACTATCGACAATTGTGAAACTGCTTCATCTTAAAAGTATTCACAAGTGGACTAACAAGTCATTCGACGACTTACTTGACATTTTGAGGGTCTTAATTCCTGATGGCAATGTTAATTTGCCCGATTCGTTCAGTAGTGCTCGTAAGTATATTTCTGAATTAGGCCTTGGTTATGAGAAGTACGATGTCTGCGAGAAGAGTTGCACATTATACTGGGGTCCTCATAAAGATGCAACATCGTGCCCAGTTTGCAAATTGCCTAGATATGCATCTATAAACAGCAAGGGGAAGGGAAAACCACACAAGGTATTACGATATTTTCCATTGAAGCCTAGGTTGCAGAGGTTGTTTATGTCAAGTAAAACAGCTTCTGAGATGAGGTGGCATAAGGAGGGCAGAAGTGATGATGGTATAATGCGACATCCCGCTGATACTCCTGCGTGGAAGTCATTTGATGAGACATACCCATCTTTTGCATCTGATCCTAGAAACGTTAGACTGGGTGCAGCAACGGATGGCTTCCAACCTTTTGGCAACATGAGCTCCCAACATAGTATATGGCCAGTGGTTCTTATTCCCTATAACCTGCCTCCTTGGTTGTGCATGAAACAACCATACTTTATCATGTCAATGATAATACCTGGTCCTCATAGCCCGGGTATGGGTATCGATGTATTCTTGCAACCTATGATCAAGGATTTGAAGGACTTATGGGAAGATGGAGTTAACACGTACGATGCACATTCCAAGAAGAACTTTCAGTTGCGTGCTTCGATTCTATGGACTATTAGTGACTTTCCAGCTTATGCTGATTTCTCGGGATGGTCTACGAAAGGTTATAAGGCTTGTCCTTCATGTCATGCTGACACTAGCGCCCTGTATTTGAAAGGGTCTAATAAGTTGTGCTACATGGCTCACCGGAGGTGGTTGGCACCTAATCACAAATGGCGAAAGAATGTTGCAGCATTCAATGGTGAAAGAGAGGTCAGGGCAAAACCAAATCCATTATCAGGAGATGAGCTGCTTATGAAATGCTGCACTTTCACGCAAGTACCTTTTGGGAGGAAAGAAAATCCAGTCAACTATGATGCTACTAATAGTTGGGAAAATTTGAGGAAAAAAAGCATATTTTTTGAGCTGCCTTATTGGAAGAATCTCCTTATCCGACACAACCTTGACGTCATGCACATTGAGAAAAATGTGTGCGATAATGTGCTAGGGACTATAATGGATATCAAGGGGAAGTCAAAAGATTCTTACAAAAGTAGATTGGACTTGGTACAACTGGGAATTCGAGAAAAACTACATCCAGTGGAGGTTGGAGGCAGAACTCGTCTCCCGATTGCACTTTATACGCTATCGAAGGAAGAGAAGGAAGTGTTGTGCAGGATGGTGACAAACATAAAGACTCCCGACGGATTTTTGTCAAAAATTTCTAGATGTGTCAACATGAAGGAAAGAAAAATCTCCGGCATGAAGAGTCACGATTGCCATGTGTTCATGCAGCGACTTCTCCCCTTAGCAATTAGGAGGCTTCTACCAAAGGAAGTTTGCGAGCCATTGATTGAGTTAAGTGCGTTCTTTAGAGAATTGTGTTGCAAGACTCTACAAGCTGGTGATCTAGATGACCTCCAAACCCGAATCGTGATGACACTATGCAAACTAGAGATGATATTCCCTCCTTCATTCTTTGATGTCATGGTACATTTGTGCATTCACTTGCCTATGGAGGCTAAGATTGCTGGACCAGTTCAAACATGGTGGATGTACCCAGTGGAACGGTTCCTGCGCACCCTTAAGTCGTATGTTCGTAATAAAGCACATCCGGAGGCTTCTATAGCAGAAGCATATATAGGTGATGAGTGTTTGACATTTTGCTCAAGATATATTGATGGGGTTGACACCAAGTTTAACAGGCCTCGAAGAAACAATGACGAGAGCGAAAGTTCTAGTAGAAATGAGGAAATGGATATATTTGATGATGTGGGTCGTCCACTGGGGAAAGAAGTCACCGAGACGTTGGATCCTGAATGGAGACGAAAGGCTCACTTATACGTCTTAAATAATTGCAAAGAAGTGTGGCCTTTTATAGAGTAAGTGCTTATAAATTTAAGTTTTTTCCCTATGCTCTTGGTATGCTTATATTATGAGTCGTAACCAAGTTGTATTTCGCAGGGAGTTCAAAGCTAGACTACCTCCAATGAAACACTCTGATGTGATAAAGCGCTATAATTCTGACTTCCCTACGTGGCTTCGAGATCATGTAAGTATAATAACACTCTTTTCCTCAGTAAATGTTTATTGGTGAATCTTAATATATAGTTTAATTTGTGAATTTTTAGGTGACTCGTTTGAAACAACAAGGGCATGTCCATGTTACTAGAGATTTACATGATTTAGCTTCAGGACCTATCATGCGATACAAAAAGTATACTGGTTATATTGTTAACGGCTACAGATTTCACACGTTAACTAGAGAGCAATCAAGAAAAAGTCAAAATAGTGGGGTACTCTCAAGAGGCGATGATAGCTCTCCCCAAAAGGAGTATTATGGAATTCTTGAGGAGGTGTGGGAGTTGGAGTACATCGGGAGAAGGAAGATTCACTTATTTAAGTGTGAATGGTTCGATGTTTCGCGTAAAAGTGGGTACACTGTAGACGAGTACTCAATCATGAGCGTTCGGGCAGATCGTCGCTTGAAAACAGATGAACCATTTATCCTAGCATGTCAAGCAGAACAAGTTTTCTACATTGAAGATCATCGAGATTCGAATTGGTTAGTCGTGATGAAAGTACAACCTCGTGACTTGTACCAGATACCAGTGGTGACCACCCATGATGTTGAATCAGAAGAGGAAGGTGATGACTATGAAGAAGAGGATGCATTTCAAGAGGAGGAAACAACGAATGAGGGGCGTGCAACAAGACCATTGGATGGTGATGACGAAATTGCACTCCAGAGAGATGATGTTCCTGCAGAACCAGTACCGCCAGAAGTGGTTCAACAAATTCAACGAACCAATAATGTTGCTCAAGAAGTTGAGGAGGAGAATTTTGAGAATGAATACGAATATGACATTTTGGTTAACAACGACGATGAAGATAATGATGATTGATATTTTATGTAACATTTTTAGTATTTTGGTTTTTGTGCAATTTCCATTAAAGCTTATTATGGACTTTGTGCTTCCACGTTAATGGAATGCTCCTCTGATTGGAAAGAAAGATTTAAATAAGTATGCTCATTGGTTGTGGTTTACACTAAAAAGCATTTGCAGCAATGAGAGAAAGTCTATTGCTGTCTGCTGCTGTCTGCTGCTAATTGAGCATTCAAGCTCAATGGTGAGGCCCTGCAACACTCACAAACATGATTTCGTCAACTCTAAACTCAATGATCAGGAAGTTAGTATTCAATGGGATATATACTGAAGCTGAAAAATCAAGTGATTACAAAGAAATGTATATATTAATTTAAAAGAAGTTGGCGGCCCCTTTTACCCAAAATTTCAAAATTCAGCTAGGCAAACACGTCTTATTACTTTTTCCCCGTAATGGCAGCCAAACTTCCCTCTAACTCCAATTTTGTGCGGCCGTAAATATGCTTTTGGCGGCAAAATCCGATTTCCCCTTGCGATTTCCTTCCTTAAGATAGACCCAAATCCTTTAAAATCTTTTCCCCTCCCAATGTTAGTTTCGCAACTCTGTTTCCTTCTAGATCTAGTTTCTGGAGCTCTATTCGCCTCCTACTCCTCTCTAGTTTTCGCATCTCTGTGTTCCGTCGTGACTGCTAGGTAAGCTAATCTCTGCCTCAGCCTGGTTGGTTTCCGTTCATGATTACTAATTGTTTAGGGTTCATAAAAAAATTCTTTCCAACCTGCATCCCTGCTTCTCGGTTTTTATCTCCGCCACCTGTTTCGTGTTCTTAGGGTAAAGGATGTGTGAATCATCCGAAATCTAGCCTAGTCGCATTCTCACCTGCAAGCTTTTGTTCATTTTAACTACTCTGTTACTCTCATGTTTGATTTCCAGATTATGTTGTTCTGTGATTTACAGTCTACGTTTTGATTTCTAACAGTCTTAGTAAAACCCTTGTTGCAGGAATGATTCGTGCAAAGAACAAAAGAGCGAAACTTAGATCACGTCCTGCCCTCATATCTACAGACACAGAAATCGAAACTATGTCACGTGTTCTAGAAACGGAAGTGCCTTCGTTGAACGCGGAAGGTAATGAATTTTTTTAGAATTGGGTAGCTGGATTTGGTTTGCTATTTCTCTACAAAAGGGTGGCTAGTTTTGGGTTCATGTTCTTGAAGTTTAGGGGCTGCGGATTTCCATCTGTCTCGTTTACTTCTCTTTGTACCTGTGTTTGTTGTTATGCCTTTCACTTGCTGGTCTATTTGCCATTTGCACAATGAGTATGCATGTGTGCTTTACAAGCGACCGGGCAAAAGTTTCTTATTCTTCTTTGATTAATGGGGAGGATCCATATATCCAATCTAGATCAGTAAGTTAATTACGTGTATGAGTGTTTCAACTACAAGTTAAATTATTCCAATAACTTCTTGATAAAGCATCATGTTAACCTTTGCTCAACTTACTTATTTTCCAGGTGATGAGTCTTCTACCCGAGTTAGTCCTGAACCCATGGAAGAATTTGCTGCTGCTGAAACTGTTCAAGGTAGTAATATTCTCTTGGTATTGTGTAATGTGTATTTCTTACTTTTTTACTAACATATCTGCTTGTAGGTACTACCAAGGGTCATGTTGGCAATAGAGGCATATACAAAGGAATTGACTTGGACAAGAAAACCAAATCCAAGAAAGAGAAGTTGTTCATTTATTTCATGCCGGGGCAGAAACATTTTCGTCCTGTTGGCCCGAATGAAAGATCTCTAAACATGTGGCTGGCATTTTGTGTTCGATCGGTGATTGGGGCACCGATCCATGACTACGTCACTATACTTCCACAGTATAGTGAACAGTTATGGAGCATGGCAACGGTAAGAAGATATAATCGCCATCTCATGAGAAGTCTTTCTAAACGAACATTTTATTGACTAATTTGATATCTATATTACTAGGATTACTTTCAAGTGAGTCCGGATAGCCCTCCAAAGTTGAAGAAAATTGAGGACTTGAACAACACCCCTCCTCCAGAGCCACTTGAAGTGAAGAAATATAAATTTAGAACTCATTGTTTTAATGAAATGAGAGCCAGCTATAGGAAATACAGATCAAGATTGCATGAGAAGTATAAGAAGTATAAAACAGACGAAGAGCGGATGAAGCATATCCCTGAAGGATTATCTGCAGAAGATTGGCAACAAATGTTGCGACTGTTTGCATCTCCCGAATTTCAGGTAGTATTCTCCTTTTATAATTATTGCCATTTTTATAGTTTTTAGATTTATTGCAATCTTTTTTACTATGTGCATGTTTAGCAAACAAATGTGTTAAATTTAATTATTTTTGTACAGGCTCTTAGTTTGAAAAATGCTAACAATCGCTCAAATCAGAAGGTCATTGCCTGCACCGGACCAACGCCATTTGCACAAACAGAATATGATATGGTAAACATGATTTTCAATTTGTTGGATGTCATATCATGTATTTGTAGCTCCTTATTGAATAAAGTTTATATGTACGATACCAGATTGATGAGGAAACTGGAAAACTACCATCTGCCTCGGAAGTTTGGATGGCACAACATAGCAGTTTGAATGCAAATAATGAGCGGAAGTGGGTTGATAGTTCATCAGAGCATTATTATGTAAGTTCTTTTTGTTCGCATTAATCTCTTGTTTGTTTCAACTATGCCTGAACTAACATGTTATTTTTTTAATTCATTCCAGCATGAGATAAGAAGAACAGAAGAAGAAGTCATGCCTGTGGATGAGACTGTTAACGATAATGAAGATGTCTTGAGAGTGGTGTTCGGTGCTCGATCTGGCTATGTTCGTGGTAAAGGAACTGGGTACAAGTCAACTGCAAAGGGAGTGACTACAAACAACCAGAACGAAAAAATAGAACAACTGGAGGCTAAAATTGTTCACCTGAACGCAAAAATAGCAGATCAAGACAAACATAATTTAGCCTTAACCCAAAGGTTCGAAAAATTGTTGGAAATGGTGGAAAATGAAAGGCATGAATCATCTTCTCACAGCGGGCAAGTAAGTACTCAAATTTCTATCGTTACACTTACATTAATTTTTAATTATTTTATTTACTAGATTTCAATCAAACTAACACACTCATAAAATTAGAGGGAAGATGATCTCACTTCGGAAGAGACAAATGAAGAAGAGTATACAAGGGATGAATGTTCTCATCAGGTATGAAATTTCCTACTAAAATTGTAGATTAATTTATATATTTAACTTATTGACTTTCTTGTTCAAATTCATTGTATAGGCCAAACGTGTGAATAAGAAACGAGCTGGCAATAAGATTTTGAGCGCAAAAAAGAAAAACAGGTACTCTTAATTCAAAGAATCTAGGTAGCATACATAGCATACGTAATAAATGGGAATTTCCCATGTGGTCCTATATATGCATTAGTGCTATAAGTTGCAATTTGGTTCCCAACTACAAGTTATGATTATCTATTTTTTCCCCTATCTTTCGTGTATTCATGTCCCTACTTTTCTTTTCCATGCTATATTGGTCCAATAAGTTTCAATTGTTTCCTGGCCGTAAATTATGATATATAAATTTATTTTTCAAGCTGTGTCTCAACTTCCATTTGATTCAATTGATGTCGGTAACCTATACTTAACTTTAAATTTTGTTTGATTATACTTTCAGGAGCTAAGAGAAGAAGGATGTTTATTGGCGGAACATGGAGGGGTATGCAGAAATAATCGTTAGTACAATTTTTTTTTTGTTAGAGAGGCAATTAATAAATTATGGATGTGAAACTTGTTATCTATTTCTTTGTAGATTTATTTTTTCTAGTTCACTAGACGATGTTTAGCATTTTAAAAGATGAATGTTGGGATGACATTTTAGTAGTTTTGCTTAATTTTTCATGGAGATGATTTTATGACATTTTGATATATAGATTTAAATGTTGGTTTTCACATATGCTCCCTATTACATTGGTGAAGGGACATATGATCGTCCCTGCAACCTATAAATGTGGCATTCTCTTATCCCCAAAGACATCGTTTAAGTGATGCATGGTCGTCCCCAGAAGTTATGTGGACGACATTTCAGGGTCCGTTATGCTACCACTTAAGGGACAACAGGTTGTCCCAAAATATTATATGAGTGACAATGAGTCATCCCCAATGATAAAGGTTAAAGACAATTGGTCGTCCCTATAAGTTATGTACGTGACAAATTGACGCCCCTGAAAACACTTTTTAAGGAATGATTGGTCGTCCCTACCAGTTGATAGGTGACAATTAGGCATCCCAAAAAATACAGTTTAAGAGACAAATGATCGTCCCCACAAGTGATACATGGGACAATTATTCGTCCCTAAAGACACATGCTGAGGGACAACAGGTCGTTCATGCGAGTTACATAGGGGACAATTAGTCGTTCCCAAAAGGCGCATAAGTGACAACTCCTCGTCCCCTAATATACAAGTTAAGGGACAATTATTCGTCCCTAAAAGTCAAAGGTGACAACTTGTCGTCTCTAAACATATAGTATAGGAGACCACTTGTAGTCCTTGAATATAGCTTTTGGGGACCAATTTTGGGCTCCAATTTGACACCTATAGGAACGACATGTCGACCCTATAAAAAGAAAAGGGGACAACAAATTATTCCCATATTGGCTCAACGCAATTATGAAATCGGGTATTAGGGACAACAGTTTGCCCCTAGAAATGATGTTTAGGGGACGACTTATTGTCGCTAAAGTTATAGCTATGGGGACGACATGTTGTCGCTACAGTTATAGCTATGGGGACGACATTTTGTCTTTCATGGACAAGAAACGAGACGACGACTTGTGAGTATCGGGGACGACTGTCGTCCCTAGTAATGGGGACGACCTAGATTTTTGTCGTCCCCTAAAGAATAGAGGACAAGAGTATAGGGAACCACTCTTTGGGGACCACTTAGTCGTCCCAAAAAACTATAGGGACGATTTTTCCTATTTCCGGGGACGACTTTTGTCGTCCCCAAACCTCCTCTTTTTTGTAGTGTGTAATGAATATAATTTAGACCCAAACTAAATGGTCGTTTGTTGATATGATCCATAAGTGATATTACAAAATATGAATTTGAATGTTTTGTAAGAGCATCCACATGAATGCATTTGCAAGTCCATATTAAATTTTTTCCCACCTTAATACTTTTGCAATCCAACTCATATAAATGTCATTGCACCTACATCAATGCAATCCACTTGCAATTGCATATGTAATTAAAAATTATGTTTAAATTATATAAAATAAAGGAAAAGAGAAAAGAAAATAGTATAAAATAAAAATTCTCCATTTTTTAGGCATTTTTTACTTGCATTTGTTGCAAACTTGCAAATATGCAATTGGTAGTCATATCAATGCAATTGCAAACACACATGACATGTCATATTGCAATTGAGAATGCAATACCAATGTGAATCCTCTAAGTGTTCTTCTTTGAAAAAAAAGAACAAATCATTTTTATTTATCGAGGAACTAGGGTTTTTATTTTTGTTTGTTTATTTATGACGAGCACCTACATTTATATGGCAGTTTGAGAATTAAAAAAAAAAAGAATTAAGGCATAATTGAAAAAAAGAAGACAATAACCTATTATTTGGAGAATAGAGACTCTCTCATTTCGTATTTATCAAAAACATGTTTGTGATATTTGGAAAATGATAGCTACCAAATATTGGATCATCATGAAAATAAATTATATTCATAAGTTGGGATTAATATTAATACACGTTTAGGGGAGGGTGATTAATTTGAATACGCTGAGTCGCTGACGGTCGGTCTAGCTCGTTTGTGATTGGAAACTCTTGTTTGTCTCGACCTATAATTAACTTACTTCCACCGCCCCCTAATTAACAAAATACTCCATTCATTTATCACAAATACTGCAATTGGAAAACGTTGCGTTTGTCATCCTAATTATTATTATTATTATTATGATGATGATGTTAAAAGAAGGTTGAGTTGATGAAAGGGTTTCTTAGTTAACGCCATTAATTAGAAGGGAACTCATGTTCTGACTTTTTCGCCTAATTAATAATCTAGCTGGCTTCATATCTGCATCATGGTCATGAGAAGAAGATAGACATTGGAAATCCGTACCGTTCCGGGTTTCAGTTCTCTCTCTCGTCACTAGGGAGAGGGAGACTTTACTAACCGGAAACGGCGTTGACAAACATTATTTGTACTTTTGTTTTGTACTGCTCCAGTCTTACGTACAGATGGATTCTTGTTGTTATCTTTCAGCATCTGTCATTAGGGCTGGGCATGCGGGCGGATCATCCGCGGGTTTGGGCCGACCCATCCGCATTTGACCCGAATTTCGTTAAGTGGGTAGGTCTGTGGGTGGGTGACGGGTTGCGCTGGGAGCCATCCGCCGGGTGGTGGGTGGGTTGTGGGTGAGTGTGCGGGTGACCCGCTCAACCCAACAGCAAAAAGATCAAATTCGTTGGCGCTAGAGAGAGGAGAGTGGAGACGTTAGATATAAACTCGGACTGCTCCTAGAGTTTGAACCTCAAAGCCAACCTTCCAAATAGAGATCCCCTCTTCTTCCCTTTACTTTTTCCTCTAATTCTTGTGCCTAGATCACCGCTCTTTCCTTTGCGGAATTATTTTCCTTAGTTCCTTGCACCTAATAATCGTCTCAATCTGTAGAAAACTCTTTCATAATAGAATTTCTATCCAATTTAAGAACTAATTCGACATTTTTCGCCCTATTTCAACTTCTTGTTTCCCTCGATGATTCTCTTCACCTATTATCATGTCAAGTTGACTCCTTTTTAATATATACATTGTGATGTGGGTGAACCCACAAACCCACCCGCATCATCCACCATCCGCCCGACCCAACCCAAGACTAAATGTGGGTGGGTGGTGGGTTAAAAATTATCAATCCGTTTAAGCGCGGGTGGGTGCATTTTATGGTCAAAATCCACCCGACCCACCCAATGCCCACCCCTATCTGTCATAGCATCTACACGATACTCACGCTAAGCTAGCTATACCTGTAATTAAGAAATTAACATGCTAATCAGCTAAGTTAATTTTAGATATTTGATTTCTCATGCTTTATGGGAATAAGGAAATAGTAAAAAAATTCATGCACATATGTCTAGAGATTAAAGCTACTGAGATGAAGTAATACTTGATATGATAGTACGTGAAATTTGTGTCTTGGTTTTTAATTAATTAATAAAATACTATTAATCTTATAAAAAAATGATACGATATATTCAACATGTAAACTGATGCACTTCCATCCAAGCAACCTCTAAAGTCATATAATGGCTAATTAGCAACTCGATATTTCAACAAACCCTTATCGCACTCAAAAATTTATCAAATAGTACCACATCATAAGATATCACTATACAAAAAAAAAAAAAAAATATCACTATACACAGGAGATGAAATTCTCATTACTACTAACTGAAAGAGGTATTTGAGCAAAGTATATTTGTGGTAAAATCTGCATTTATCTCATTGAGCTTCTAGAGTACAATTATATACATACAAGTGAGGATTTCTAGCAATTAAAGCCCATGTTCCACCAAGATAGGAACGGCAGAGTAAGGGAGAGAGAATAATAAAAATACATTTTATGAGTAATTTCTAATATGCCCCCGCAAGACGAAGGAGGTATAAATGACGCCGATCTTGGATCGTAGAAGCAGAAAACGTGTGGACGGAAGAGGCTTGGTGAGTAAATCGACAAGCTGTTGGGCAGTGGGAACGTAAGAGACACGGAGGCGACGAGCCTGTACCAAATGAAGAACAAAGTGATAATCGAGGGCCGGGTGCTTCATACGAGAGTGAAAGACAGGGTTCGGGCAAAAGTAGGTGGCTCCAAGATTATCGGAGTAAAGAGTAGGAGCGGAGGAGATGGGATGACGGAGTTCGTGGAGAAGATTCTGAATCCATTCGACTTCAGCCGTGGCATGACCTATGGCACGATATACGGCTTCAGTGCTAGAGCGAGTGACCGTCCGGTGTTTTTGAGACCTCCAGTAGATGAGAGTGGAACCAAGGTAGAAAAGGTAGTCAGAAGTAGACGAGCGATCATCAATGTTCCCCGCCTAATCGAAATCAGCAAAGGCAGAGAGTGAGAGCGAGCGATGGAGAGACCATAGGTGCGAGTACCAGAGACATAACGAAGCAGACGCTTGACACACTGCCAATGATAACCTGTAGGAGCGTTCATATATTGGGAGAGTTTGTTGACGGAGTAGGCAATACCAGGACGAGTATAAACAAGATAATGTAGAGCCCCAAGAGCCTGGCTGTAACGAGTAGCATCGGTAGGAGAGCTTCCATCCTGCAGAGTAAGAGTAGTTGATAGGGCAAAAGCGTATTGCTTCAATTCCTATCTTGTAGTAAAATCGGGAAGTCCGGGTATCGTCTCTCATGGACTGGTACAACTAATTCAGCCTCTGCCAATTAGCTTCCCCTGGTCCAAAACAACTTCCACTCAAATCTCCCTTTTCGAGAGGCCTCTGTAACCGATCCAATTAATTCAAGAAAAGTTCATTCGATCCATTTGAATTATTTGATCAGGACTGCAAATTTCTCATTTCATTTACCTGAAACATATAAAATATTTGGCACTCTACGGTAATGGTTTTATAACCATTCCAGGCTTAGTTGAACCTAAAACAAGCATTATATGTCTCAAACATATCGTGTAATAATCACATTAAACACACAAAATCAATATGTTTTCGACAATTATCACAACCCCACACTCAATACTTGCTTGTCCCTAAGCAACGATCCAAACACGAGAACGATAATTGGAGGAAACACAACACAAACCAGGGAGACACAACCTCGCTTAAGACACAAAACCCCATGACACACAAAACACATCAACACAAAAAAA